CCCCAAAACCCCAAAACCCCAAAACCCCAAAACCCCAATAATATTTTACAATATTGAAAATAAAATGATTTCAAAAAGCCAGCAATGCTTTATGATATACACAACTTTTGTTGAAATTATCTTTCCTTTCTTGCTGATAATTGGAGTTCTTTATTCTCCAAGAGAAGAATCTATTAATCAAAGAGAGCAAGAAACGGTTGACATAGATCAGCAAGAAGCTGACAATAAGAGCCAAGGTAATAATTTCATCAAGATATCTTAAATTTTTAAATGAATTGAATAAGTTTCTTTTCCTATTTCAAGAGACCAAGTTCAAATTCTTCTCACAAATTTTGAAAAAGAAAAAAGTAGAAATATAATTCAGTTGGTCTTCAGATCTTTTTCAAAAATATGATCTTACAAATGTGTTTGTTTACTCTTTTATTCTAGATTTGTCACAGGGGTACCTATACAGCTTTGAAATACTCTATATGGCTGCAAATTCTTCTTACTTCCTATAACTGCACTAATTCAATACATCAATCAAGCAACTGACAGCTCAAGGACTTGGTATCTGAGTTCAGTGAGCTACATATTCTCTGTAATTTCCTTCATGACCATCAATAGAGACTTTTGCATTACCGTATTCAGAATGGTGACTAATGGGTTTTGTGTATTTGTTCACATCCCTCTATACGTCTATTTTATTATTCAGATACATCTGTCTTACATCCTCATGCTGTATATGTTTGAAGAAAGCATTGTCTTTAAAACCCTGAAGAAATTCTCCGAATTCAAGGTAGAAGTCATCACTCATGTTCAAAGCCATATCTTAATTGGAGGATGCATTCTCATGAGTTTTTATATTATGCCCTATTTTGACTTCCTAAAGCATAATATTTGTATGGTAATCCTTCAGAATACTTTCTGGGTTATACTTATCTTGCACTCTTGAAAAAGGAAGACCAGGTTTCAAGAAATGCAAAATCAACATAAGTCAATTTTTGAATCATTATCAACTATTTTAATCAGTATTCATCTTAGTTTTACAATTGATTATTTTTATATCTTTGAAACAGAGAGTCACTCTGGATTCATGAAGATAATGCTATTTGGGCTGTTTGTACTAATTCATCTAGTATTGATTTCAGCATATATGCTACATCAGGTTTATTTTTTAGACCCTTATGTTGATGATTGGGATGCAATAAGGTCTGCTCACCAAATTCCTCTAAAATTTAACTTTGGAAACAATGATTCAGAAATTTGAAAAGAGTCTCAGTGAATGTATTGTACAAACAAATTATCAGAGCCATGTCTTGAATATCTAACAAGCAGAGAAAAGAGTAGTAAAGTTTGTAAGAAAGTAATGAAGAGCCAAAGAACATTCATAAAGCTGCACTGAGATCATGACTTTCACCCAGAGTGCTACATAAAATTCTATAATGGCTCGTCGTGCCCAGTCTGAGGAGCTGCAATTAACAGATACCTCCGCTTTGGCGAAAGGTTTGTGGATTGATCATCTTAACATTCATCGATAAAAATTAGAAAGGATGCCATTGGAATTTGGGTTTGTTTGGATTAACTAGAAAGAAAAAATAAGATAATTATAGAAAGTGATGGAGAATTTTGAAAAATTAATTAAAACTAGTGTTATATGAAAGGGTTAAATGAATTAGAGGTTCAAAAAAGTGTAAAAATAAACTATATCAAGAAATCCTTAAAAAATATTGGGCACTCTATTATTTTTCAAGAAATTTTATCTCTTTCCTTATCATTTAGCTAAACACTATTAACAACAACTAACACTCCAATAACCCCACAAACCTCAATCCCAATCTCTTACCCCCTACCAACCCCCTAAAATCCCCTCAACCTCCCTCCCCCTCCTCTTCCCCCTTATCTTCCCTCCCTCCATTCCACCCCGCCACCACTCTATCACTACTAAAATCCACCTGGCTCTATTACTTCCTAAGACTTCGCCCAAGAAGACTTGTACACGGCCTTCATCTGTGTTTACTTCTTGTGCGTGATATTGAAGATCTGAACTTTGGTTTATTCAAAATTGTTCATTCTATTGTAAATAAAGCTATCACAAAACCCAAGAAATTGATTCTAAAAGCTTCTAAATATTACTGGTGATATTGACTTCATGAATTATCAAAGCCTGTCTTGAGTATACGAATAAATCAGAAATCAGAAATATAAACTCAAGAAAGTAGTAAAGCATAAGAATACTTACGTCCAATGCAATTGGGAATATGAAACATATCGTCTTGGATGGCATACTTCTCCCAAATTTGGTTTTCCCTTCTGAAATTCTTCTGGGGGCTGGTTCAGTTTTCAACCTTCCTAATCTATCAAAATTCAGATGGAAGATATCTGAGATACTTAAAACCAGTAAGAATACAGAAGCTGCTATTGAACTCTATATTAGATGAGCCTTTAATTCAACTTCAGTTTACCTTATTCCTGTCGTAAGAGTTCAGGAGAGTTTAAGCATTTTTTAGATTTAGTAGTGATCCATAGTTATACTTTCAATAAAATTAAGTCAGAGAGGGGTTTTGGGGTTTTGGGGTTTTGGGG